TCTTTTAAGTCACCATGTCCAAGATGGCATCAACAGCGCATGCCTTTTGAAAGTTTGAATGACACATTTGTCAAAAAAAAAAATTGTTAATTGGGACTATTTTGAAAGTTTTTCATTTGATAAGTCTCCACTACTCCTTGTTTATGACTCATTAATTCATCTGAGCGTGACATAATATTAAAGATCATTCATTGAAATATATTTAATACAGTGCGTACAATAAACTTGTATTAGTTTTGATGGCAATATATATATATATATATATATCAAAAGAAACTTAAAGAAGAAGAATTTTACTTTATTAAAAAAAAACTAGCAGAAGAATTTTCTGCATTTTATTCATCTAATAGCAACAGATTTTATGGTTCTATTTTTTGTTTTTGTTGCAGTACTTATATGTACACAGGAAAAGTAAATATTCAATCTTAAATAATTGAGTACCTTATTAAAAATATCAATAAGTGGATGAGATTATTCAAACTTTCGGCATATAATATTGGTAACATTAATTAATAAGCTTGAATATAAGATATTCAATCATGATGTGATCATTAATGCTAATTTTTTAATGATGAACAATGTCTTCGCATTTGTTAGACCATCACATCTTATTCTCGATATTTCAATGTATATCACACATCTAGTCAATAAAATTTTCTCATAGGGGACCCATTTTGAAAATTGTTACTTAGAAGCATTTATTCATCTTAACGTATCATAAAAGATCGTTCCTGATCCTGAGTCCTGACTATTTTAAATAAATTATGATGAATTCATCCATGTTTGAGTCAAAAAAAAAAAAAAATAGAGGAACCTGAGCAAGTTTTGCTATTTTCATATTGCACTTAATATTGTGATGAATTTGCAAGCAAAGCATTATAGGCACATGAACATTCAATAATTATATATAAGCCTTATTGGGTGGCTATACAGATTTTTAATGACATTTTATATTATAATAAATTTGAACAAAGGATTAATATATGGGTGTGTGATAGATATAAACTTTTAAAAAATTACATAATTAAAATTTATGAATTTTGTTAATAAAAATTGTAATATTTTATGACAATATTTTATTTTTTTTTTTTTTCAGAGTTCATATAAAATCTTTAAGTATCATGTCTAAGATGACATCAACAGCACATGCCTTTTGAAACCAAGCGAAGCTTCATATAATTGCTTACTCTATCTTTTTTTTCCTTTTTGGCCAAAATAATTTCTTACGCAATCACTATCATAAAAAAATGCCAAAGCCTACGCATTTATGTCACTCAATATCACTGTGTCTAAGATGACATCAACACACTGGGTTACATGAAGGAGACGGCTGATCGATGGATAATGAAAGCATACAAACGAGACTAGTTAACTTATGCAATATATCCATTATTATTATTATTATTATTATTATTATTTATTTTATTATTTTCTCTTAGTAGTACAAGTATAATTTTCCATCATATATATTTTCATTTATACCAAACATAGTTTTGACAATTTTTATAAAGACAAAGACATAAAATAGGCGTATCATAAACATTTATATTAGGGAAGTAAAATGTAGGTTTCTTAAAATTCATAAATAATAATAAGATGAAATAAATTTTAATTGAAAATTTTTTTGAAAAATATTTACACTTCAACAAATTATCATTTGTCTAAATAAAATATAATAAATCTAAACAATTATAGTATTATACTATTCATATGTCACAAATAATATGATTTTTCTAAAGTTTTATGCAAATCTAAGACTATTATATACTTTCAACCAAGGAGAGATTATGAGAATTATTAAGATTTATTTACCATTATCTTTTGACCATATATAAAAATTTCAAATAATCCTTTTTCTGTTTAATCAAGCTATATTAAAACTTTGACATACTATTACTAATACTTTCTTTCCATTATAAATCATGTGACCTTCACAACTTGAGTCCTCTAATCTACTTATACCTCACTCATATCGTTGCCACTAGAGTCAAGTGGCTTCCCTTTTGTTTTTTTGGGTCGAAACAAGTGGCTTCCTGTTGTAATTGATATTTGGATTTACCAACTTTCAAAAAATCCATTTCAAGTTATTATTATATAAAACATCCATTTCACAGAGTTTCTCCCTTGTTTTCTCCCAATTGTTAAGTGATAGATAAAATAAAGATTAATGAGCATCCTAAACTCTAAATTATTGTGTGAATAATAACCTAAACCCTGAACCCTGAAATGTACAAAAAATCTTCTTAACTTTTAAATCCCAAGCACCCAAAACCTCATCGTTAAGTTGAAGAAGACAACCATTACTTTTATAATTGTGGAGCCTAGTTACAATGATGTGGCACACATGTTAACCCTTAAGTTAGAGAAAATAACTGTTATTTTTAAGAGTCAAGAATAGTGCTACATCAACATGTAACTAGGTCCCGTAACTACAAAAGTAATGATTCTTTTCTCCAACTTAATGGCAATGTTTTAGGCACTCGAGATTTAGAATTTGAGAGAAGTTTTCCCATATTTCAAAATTTCTAAGTCTAAAGTACTATTCATGCAATAGTTTATAATTTAGGATGCTTATTAATCCATAAAATAATCAATGAGATTTACTAGGATAATAATACATAAAAAATCAATAATAGTTAAATAAGCTAGGGAGATAATTTCATATCAAAATTTAGGTTAAAATATACATTTAGTCTTTTAACTTTACATAATATTTCATTTTAGCTAGTCCCTTAACTTTATAAAGTATTTTTTTTAATCCTTTTACCCAAACACTGTTTTTTTTATTCTAACAATTTTTTTACATTAAACTTTTAAATATTGACAAAATATTTTCAAATGTTGACATATTAAGTTGAATTTTTTTTGGGAAATAAGTTGAATTCTTTCAAAATAATAATGATTGACACAAAAAAATAATCATTTAAAACTAATGATATTAGGGTTAAGGAACTAAAAGGATATTTTACAAAATTAAAGGACTGAATTAAAACTTTATATAAAGTTAATGGACTAAAAGTATACTTTAGCCTAAAATTTTAAAACTTTGTGGTCTTGTGGGATCCCTCCAAAGCTTTTTTTTTTTGTCTATTACATCATAATTAAAGGAAAAGTTTTTCTATTGTGCATACTTTTAATTCTAAGTCATGTGGCAATCGAGAAAATTTCATTAGAATGTCTTTTTAATTTCTGTTTTTTTTTTTTGGGTTGGTCAGTCTTCATATTTGTAGTTAAAAGGAGTAAATTTATTTTTCTGCTTTGTCTCATTTTTGTTGGAAAATCCTGTAGAAAAGCTAATTCAAGTCATGCCTGGGATACTGTCCTTAAAAATTATTCCACCACACTAATTAAATTGTGGCAAATTCCCAAGACTAAACAAACTCTTCCTCCAACAAGAAGGGGGTGACATAACAGTAAGAAATCACAAAATAATTCACGTGAAGCACAAGAGAGGGAGGGGAGGAAAATGCCTGTAAGTAACATTACCGATCAAAATAGTATATCCATTGCTAAATATTTGTCAAATAGCCAGACAAAAATTTAAAGTGAGAATTTCAAAGAGAACACGAGAGTCATGCTAGCAAGAGCTTTACGATCATACGTGGCACAAGGATTGGAGTGAGTCTGGTTAAGGGGCAGCCTGAAAACACAATATCGACCAAAATAATCTTGGCTCGCCTTTATTAGCTGTATGCCACACATCAGACAACATCAGACCCACCATCGTCTTTTTTCTTCCCATGTGGGTTGAAAACAAGATTCCACTTCTAGCCACCAACATCAAATGTACATGCAGATTCATATCCATTGGACCAATTAGAAGCAAGTGATTAATGTTTTTATAATAACAAGATCATAAACAGGGGAATCGATTCTCTCAGATCTTATGATTCCATTAAAATCATAATCAGCCATGATGAGCATTCCTTCGTTAACTTCCCCAGTTTCCAGTGTAAAAAAGAAAGAGGAAGTTTATAAAATGGGCTTTAGTTCTTTAATTAAGATTGTTGAAAAATCCTATAGATATAAGTTGTGCTTGAGGACACTATCTTTAAGAATTAGTCTACTGCATTGATTAAATTGCGACAACTTGCTAGGATTAAATGAATCCTTCCTGCAAAAAAACAGGATGACAAAATAGCAAGAAATTACATAATAAGTCGAGATGCATGAGCAGGAGAGGAGTGCCTGAAAGCTGGGGACAATGTATCTAACTATATGATCTACATTGCCTTTTATAGGAAAAAAAAACTCATGAACATTGAGCAATAAAGTGCTACTTAAATAAAATAATATGGTGTTTAAATTATAAGTTACAAAATAAATATATTTAAATAATAATTAATATTATTAATCAAAGTAATACTTCCTTTTGAAATACCATTAAAATATTAAAATATCCAACAATTTTTTCAGTAAATATAAAATAATAAATCCAATGAAAATATAGCCATCAAATTCTTTATTCATCCTCTTTTTTCTAATTGAACGGTACATTAGCGGCGATGAAAAGTCCAACTTGACCTTTCAGCTAACAGATAATTTAGACATGTGTATTTATGAAATGACAATGTTAAGCCTGAATTTAGATATTTGTAATTGTGAAAATGACAATGCTAACCCTACTCTTAAATGCTGCTGCTTCTCTCTATTTAGATTTCATGAAAGCATCCACTATTCAAGTACGGAGAGGAGCTCATCGTAATGTCTCTCGGCTGCCACAACACTTTGATGTCAATACTGTAACTCCTATGGTAACTCAGAATGCTTTCCTTAAAACGCATAGTTTCCTCTTTCCTTTCCCTTCATCTTTCTATATATCTTTTATTTTGTTTTTGGATGGCTTTGTATGATAAACAATGGTTTCTATATCTCTGCATCTCTCTGTCTTTGCTTATCATTGTTTATTTAGTTGCATGCTAAGTTGATTTGCTTGTAAGATCGTAATATACCTCTTGAACCTATGTAGTCACATTAGGTTTGTGCTCGGCCAAGTTCAATTAAGTAATCAGCTAAGTATATATATGTATGTATGTATGTATTACCACAGATGTTTTGGTGAACAAAGAAAAACCGAAGTCATGAGTACAAGTCACTAAAACAACACAAACCAGAACCAAAAAACAACATAGCAAAGGAAGCAAAGCAAAGATAATAAAGACTTGAAAAAAAAAATCACATATATTTCAGCTCCTCGATCCAGGAATGAAATTCATGATTAGTTTTGTTTGGGAACCCAGGCAATGGTGCTTTGATAAAGGAAGTGGCATATGGGAACACCCCCTGGTTTCACTTTTAGCACTTGAAAGGCCAAATGTTGTGGGTTCCACCGTGATGTGTCTCTGTGACATACACTAACAGCTTTCACCCTGCTCCCATCAGCCCCCTTCAACGACACCGTATAGGCGACTGTGTTCTCAATTTTGTGACAGTTAAACAAAGCATACACATACTTTAGCTTGTGGCACACCACCACTTTGGCATCTCCCACCTTCTTCACCCCCTGCATTATTGTGTATTCTTGCTGCTTTGTATCCTTCATCACTTCGGTAGACAAAGCTTCCACGTCTTTCCCAAGCTTCAAAGTGATAAAATCAACCATGGATTCCAATGACGTGGCACAATACTTCTCCTCTCCTTTAATCCCTGACTCCTCACAATGTTTAATTGTATTCTTCATAACCTCAGCTTTTGCTGACTTAGGCTTCACAGCAAATTTGTTCAATATCTCAGCCATCTGTAAGTAAAGAATCATTACACCTTAAAAAAAGGGTAATATTAGTGTTTCTCAAGCACTGGGAAAAGGGAATCAGGCACTACCTGTCTTGAAGAAAAGGGAATGGATCTCACAACTTCACGAGGGAGGAAGGATGCTTGGTTGGAAGTATAAGTGAAAAGCAAGTTCATTTTGTGATTGGTCTTCAAGTCCTTTTCCAAGAAGAAGAGAACTGTGTTGGGGTTATCTTGGAGTTTGAACTCCCTACAGCAGTAAATAACTTGAAAACAAGTAAATGGTGGAGCGGTGGGGGACCAAAAGGCGTTTGGTTTAACTGTGAGAAGAAACAAACTATTCGTCATGGGAATATCAAAATTCGTAGAAAGGTGCCAATGAACAGTACAATACTACTGACCAGATAGGCGGAGGAGATTTGTGATAGATTTAGGAATGGGAGTAGTGGGAAGCTTGGATTTCCAATAAAGTGCTGGAGGTAAGGCTGCATGCGTTGTCACCACTGAAACCTGGAACTTCATGTATAAAATATATAAATATTCATTCGCATTAGTTTCGTTTGTAAAAGTAAGGGGGAAAAAGTGACGAAAGGAAAGCATGTTGGAGCTCACGATCGCTATGAGAAAAACAACGATGGCCGGAAGTGAAAACTTCATTATTGGAGAAACTGTAATGATAACAAATAAGGAGCTGACAGTAAATATATAAAGCTGGCGGATATAATGGTAATAAACTACTGTCGTGAGATAAGGGACCCAGACTTGGTTCGCGATCGGCCATAGTACATTCTAGAGGAATTGGTTGGGCTGATATTTGGAATGTCAAGACTTAATTTTTTTTAATTTTATATTTATTAAAATATGAATTTTAAAAATGATCAAATTTTTAATAAATCTATTTGTCACCAATTTGAATAATATAAATTTAATTTAATATTAATTTTTTTATATTTTTAATAAAATTGACTACCTAGATATATTCTGGATAATTTATATTTAATATTTAATATTTATAATTTTTTAAATTTTTATTTTGAAAAATATAATATTAAAAATAAAGATAATCTCTTACCTAGTACTTTCTAAAAATATTTTTAAAAAAATTAAAAATTAAAAATTTTAAATCTTAACAATTCAAAATAAATCTGGATAGTTAATTTATAAAAATTATTATAAAAAATTAATATTATATTAGACTATCCAAATAAAATCTAAACTGTCCAAGTTGGTAATGAATAGTGATTAAAGAAAATTTGTTATAATTTTGTATAACTTTTATACATTTTTATTTTAATAAATATGAAATAAAATTAGAAAAGATTTAAATTTAAATTTGGACACGGTTATGATCATCATGGTGAACACCGCAAATAATTAAATGTTAAGAGACTTGTGTCATTTTTTATCCATATATGAAAGACCAAAATACCATTTGAACAAAACACTTTGACAATCTCTGATTGGCTAATCAATCATCAAGTCGGTGTGACAGCGACAGCAAGTAATTAAAAAAAATTATTATGTGTGATTTAATAATATCTTAACCCTTTATAGTTAAAAGATTTGTGGCTTACATTTAACACGTAGAAATTTTGTAAGTAAAACAAAAATGTTGAAACACCAATTATCAAATTATGAAGGACTCAGCCAATGAGAGTTAAGAATATAATAAAAGGGTTAGTCCCTCACAACGTAACGAATTAAAGTTTAAATCTTTATTAGAAGAAATGCTCACATTAATGTACAATATTGTGTCTTAAATATAATTATTTCTAATAGCAAAATACCTATGAACAATTGAAAAAAAAAATTATAAATGACTTAGATTTGCGAAACTTAATATATAAATGCTAGAGGCGACCATTTCAACTTCAATTATTGCTAAATTGTTGGACCATTTCGTATGGGGACCATCTTGTTTGACTCATTAGGGGGCTACCTTTATTCTCACGGCCTATAAAGATTTGAGAGTACACAGTTGAAGAAACTGCGAGAGATTGAAGAAAAGTAAGAAAGTATACTTAAGAATGGGATTTTCAGTGAGAGAACAAGTGTGGTGGGTGGTGGCTGTTATCATAATATTAGGGTTTAATGATGGAAGTAAGGCGTGTTTGGTAGAAGAGAGAGAAGCTCTTCTCAAACTGAAAGAAGCCTTCAATCATCCAAACAGCTCGTCTCTCCCTTCTTGGAAAAACCTTACCAGTTCTGATTGTTGTAGCTGGGAGGGAATCAGCTGTGACAACTCCACTCAGAGAGTGACAAGCCTTCTTCTGGACTATGTAAGAGCTCAAGAGTTTGAAGACATCAACTGGTCATTGAATGCTTCTTATTTTCTCCCTTTTCACCACCTTCAAGTATTGGACTTGTCTGGAAATTACTTGTCAGGTCTCTCTCTTCTCTCCTCTGGGGCAATTTTATGGCTTATGATTATGATTTTATGACTCACGTACATATTTATAACACAGACGCAAAAAGTGTCACGCAAACACTGCTATTTTTAAGCGTCTAAATAGTTCATGAGACATAGCTTATCCCAAATCTCACCAGTTTTGATATATAATGAAATAAAAGGGGCAAAAGGTAACTTCAAAGTAATGCTTTTAGGGTTCAACCTGTGACTTCATGCTACACCTATTGGATGACGATGATATTAATTATATGAATTTTTTTTATGAAATTTTTTACCTACTATAACATTACGATTAACTGATGATATTTTTGTGTTGTTGGATCAGGGTTATTTGGCGAACTTAAACTGGACAACTTGCAAACTTTGTATCTGGAAGATAATAAGCTCACGGAAATGCCGTTCTTTGGTGCTTAATTTTAATTTTCGAACTTATTTTAGATGCCGTTTTTTTGTTACTTCCTCAATATTGGTTCTTGTTTTTTGAAAAATCAATTGAAGTTTGGTTTTAGAAATCGTTGAGAATATGGAAAGTTGAAAAAGATGACGTTTTCACTTAACATATATGATGGAAACATGACTGGAGGAAAAAAAAATAAAGATTAGTAAATCATTTAGCAATTAACTTGATTAAAAAATTTTGACATCTATATACAAAATAAGTAATAGCAGCACCAGCGGTACGGAAAGAATAGACGTTTTTTTTTCGTTTGTTTGGCCAAAAGGAAAGAATAGACTTTAAACAAGGGAATGTAATGGAAAAGGAATATATGGCATGGAAGAAAGAAAAGAAAAATACATAAAACTTACACATGCATTTGTTTACTTCTTTATTATTGTATGATTCTTTTTGAATATTTCCATTTCATATTTGACAGATAATGTTTCTCATTCCCGCAATTTGAAGACTTCGAAATTGTCTTTGAATTCCTCAGAGGCTGGTCTTTCAGAATCTCATACATCTCTTACATTTCTAACCTCTTTGCGGATCTTGTCACTTTATAACAATAGCCTTTCAGGCTCATTGCCACAGCAAGGTATTATATTTATAGCATTTTCAGTAAAATTCATTTATTATGCGAGTATACCACCGCTAAGATTAGATTAAACTGAGAGAGAATTTATCCAGCCATGTTTTTCAAATCAACTTTTAAATTTAAAATTGGTTGAAAAATACAAGTCTATTGACCGGTCAATGATGGCCAATGATCGGTTAACTCCAGTCAGCACCAGTCTAATAATGGGGGAGTTCAAGGGCATTGGTGTCATTTTATATGATAAATTAATTACAATCAAGTCCCTTAAGATCTTAGTGTATTTTTAAAAATTCGTAAATTTATTTGTAAATAAATTTCTCATAATTATTTATAATTTTCCCAAATTTGAGATCAATACATGCATCAAAATAAAAATTTCGCCTTACATCTTTACAAGCATCTTACCATACTCCATCTTTACCATCTAAATTAGCCCTGAGTAACTCTATGCAGTCTTCATTTATTTATACCTTGGAGTTACATTTTCTGGGATTTAAATGTATCTGATTAATTAGTTCATACATCACTCACTTTCAGGCTTGCAGTCGAGGTTTTTGTAACTTAAATATTAATCTGAATGCATTTATTAAGTTGAATTTGCACCTAAATTAGTTAATCCATACAATCTTAAAAAGGCCGATTACTTAATATCAAAGTTAAGCTATCGCTTAAGTGTTGTTTTTTATTTGTTTGAAAACCATTAATTAAAGACTCGTATATAGAGTAAATGAATTAAAAATATATATATATATGTTGCAGGAGGCTTATGCAATCTGAAGAATCTGAAAATGTTGTCTCTTGGCCGCAATAAGTTTAAGGGACTCCTTCCTTCGTGCCTCAGTAATTTGACTTCTCTTCGTACAATTGATCTTCAATACAATGGTTTTGAAGGAAGCTTCCCTTCCTCACTCTTTCATTCTCTAAAGTCACTCAGATTCATCTCTTTGGAGGAAAACTCTTTCACTGGCACAGCATCGTTTTCTCTGTTTGCCAACCACTCAAACCTTCAACTCTTCTCGATCTCATGTTCTAATAACCCCAATCTCAAGCTTGAAACTGAAAATCCCCAATTTCTCCCATCTTTCCAATTAAAGATTTTCAGGATTGTCAAATGCACTATGAATGAAGCAAGCAATCACAGAACTATACCCTCTTTTCTTCATCATCAATATGACTTGAGAGTTCTAGAACTTTCCCGTTTAAATATTTCAGGAAGCTTCCCACACTGGCTTTTTACAAACAACACCAAATTAAATTCTCTGAGTTTCAATTACAACTTCTTGACTGGTCCTTTTGAGCTCAACCACACCTCAAGATTACTTGATATGCAACATTTTGAAGTTTCTGCTAACCCTATTAATGATGAAATTCCTCCTCATGTTGGCACAGTTTTCCCCAACTTGCTTTCTTTGAACATGTCTTCGAGTTCATTACAGGGTGGATTTCCAGCTTCACTTGGTGACATGAGGCAATTGAACTCGCTAGACTTGTCCAATAACAATTTGTCCGGATATTTTCCCCAAGAATTTGGTAAGGGTATCAATGACTTGAGGTTTCTAAAGTTGTCAAACAACAATTTAACCGGTCCATGTTTACCAATAGGTTCAAATTTCACGCATTTGTTGTCCGTTGATCTAAGCAACAACAGATTTAAAGGAAAAGTACCAAATGGAATTATTAATAGTTCCGAATTAAGAATGTTGGATTTAAGTGCCAACCAATTATATGGTGAAATGCCTAGCTGGATTGGAAACTTTAAGCATTTGGGTTTGCTCATTTTGTCCCAAAATTCTTTAGCAGGTCCAATACCAGAAAGTTTTTGCAATTTAGTTGAGCTGAAATACCTAGACCTTTCACAAAATAGATTCAATGGCACTTTGCCAAGCTGTCTAAATATGCCATCACTGAGGTACTTACATCTACGGGGCAATTATTTTTTGGGACCCGTACCTTTTGTTTTAGCCAAATCTCCCTCGCTGTTAACTTTGGATTTGACAATGAATAGATTTTCTAGTCAAATTCCGAGGTGGTTAAAGTCAATGTCAAACTTAAGGGTCCTCCTCCTAAAGGGAAACGAGCTTGAAGGTTCCATTCCTTTAGATGTGTGTAACCTTAAGAACATAAGCATATTGGATCTATCACAAAACAAGCTTTCTGGAGGTATACCATATTGTTTGGATAACATCACATTTAGAAGGACGGATGCAATGAGTGGGACCACCATAGGAAAATATTTTGTTCCTTGGACTACAAAAGGCCCAATATTCGTCTTTAATTATACAAGTGGTGAGCTTGACCAAAGAGAAAGCATAAGGAATTTTA